ATATATAAATGTATGACGCTCATGGCAGTGAAGCAGGTGGGAGTGGCAGCAGTGTGAGCCTTCAGAACACCTCAAATTGACTCATACTTCTGCCCACTGACTGAATGCATTTACTCAAACCCACTGCTGACATTATGGATTCCAGGCATTGATTTTCCTATTTTAAAACTTAATGAACTGTATGAAAAGAAAAGAAAGCTAAAAATGGACAGCTTCTCCTGTGTAAGTGGCAGTGAGTTGGTTAGTCATGCATAATTAAAGATTTTATGATTTGATCAATTTTTAAAAAAGGGGCTTCGCTGAATCTCGGAGTCGTGATCAAAACTGAATTTGCAAAAATAAAAAATAGCTGCTGTAAAAAAAATAAAAATCACGGACACACCTTCCTGCTCTTATCATCACTTTCTGTTTCGATACATTATTTGAAACATAAACATTATTTTGCATTCACACCCTTAATCTTATCTTTGTAACAGGAACAAACTGCTCAAAATTTAAATATACAGTACTGTAGTTGTGACTGGTGAGCCATGTTTGAATCTGCAACCAGATTCCCACAATAACCATTGTTCTTGAATATTTGTTGTACATTTGTTTGAATACTGACAATATGTGACACATTAGCAAAGAGTGAAACGTTATTCATCATCTCACTTCAAGGTCCTTATTTGTTGAAGAAGGTTTACTCTGTCACTTCTGATAGGAGTGTACTGTATATGTTTATACTTCAGTGAATTCTTTTTGTTGCCTAAAGAATCAGTTTCATTATTCTTGTCCTTCTTTGTCAACTGGTCACAAAATATTGCAGACTGGTGTTATACTTTGAGGCTCAGGTCCTTCAGTCAGGAATCCCGGACAACCCTTTGTACAGTTTCAGGATTCCAACCTGGATGGGAAAACAGACAGGGTTTTGGGACCCCAAACAAGCCAGCAGACTAAATACATGCAACTTTTCTTTTTTGACTAATGTAGATGGACATTTTTGCTCTTGCCAGAATAACATTGAGAAGCTGGCATTTTACTTTGCGTTTCTTTGAATATCCAATTATGAACACTTGCTTTGAAAAAAGATTCATGAAACATTGTAAAAAGATTTGTTAAAAACCAAAATACTGGATCCAAATGACTGCAATCCATAAAGACATGAAAAACTTTTTCTATCTGAGAACAAAAAGGACAATCAGGACTCACTGTTGGGTTGATCACAGACACAAAATCATTTGTTGCTATAGCTCCATGTAAAACTCTCCATTGTAGATCTGCTACTCTCTTAGCCAATGGTGGCTTGTAAAGTGCTCTCCACTCAGGCACAAGGTCATCACAGAGAGCTAAGCGAGGCCTCCATGGAATATCAGTTTGCTAGCTCCGCGAGGGGGCCTAGTGGCGAGCAGGCTTTAGCTCTGCGAGGGGGCCTGGGGCGAGCTGGTTGCCGCTGCGGGCGGAGATAGCTTTAGCTCCGCGAGGGGGCCTAGGGGCGAGCTGGTTGTCACTGTGGGCGGAGACGTCTTTAGCTCCACGAGGTGGCCTAAGTGTGAGCAGGCTTTAGCTCCGCGAGGGGGCCTAGGGTCGAGCTGGTTGCCGCTGCGGGCGGAGATGTCTTTAGCTCTGCGAGGGGGCCTAGGGGCGAGCTGGTTGCCGTTGCGGGCGGAGACGGCTTTAGCTCTGCGAGGGGGCCTAGGGGCGAGCTGGCTGCCGTTGCGGGCGGAGACAGCCTTAGCTCCGCGAGGGGGCCTAGGGGCGAGCTGGTTACCGCTGCGGGCGGAGACAGCTTTAGCTCCGCGAGAGGGCCTAGGGGCGAGCTGGTTGCCGCTGCGGGCGGAGACAGCTTTAGCTCCGCGAGAGGGCCTAGGGGCGAGCTGGCTGCCGCTGCGGGCGGAGACAGCTTTAGCTCTGCGAGGGGGCCTAGGGGCGAGCTGGTTGCCGCTGCGGGCGGAGATGTCTTTAGCTCCGCAAGGGGACCTAGGGGCGAGCTGGTTGCCGCTGCGGGCGGAGACAGCTTTAACTCTGCGAGGGGGCCTAGGGGTGAGCTGGCTGCCGTTGCGGGCGGAGACAGCCTTAGCTCCGCGAGGGGGCCTAGGGCCGAGCTGGTTGCCACTGTGGGCGGAAACAGCTTTAGCTCCACGAAAAAAATCACAAAGGTTAGATTAAGGATCTCACTGAGAGATAACACTGGGCTGTCATACACAGTACCGAAGGTGACTGAATATTCCAGCATCGGATGGATCTCAGCCAGCAGCTCAAATGGTCTCAGTAGAATGCTGTGCAGGTGAGTCCATCCCAGTCTCTGCCCACATGCCAATCTGCAAACCATCAATTAGGAGAGAACAACCACAACCTCTACAGAAAGTTTATGCATTAATAACTATATAAAACGTATCTTACACATCTAAAACATATATAGATATTTCTACTAAACATTTTATTTTATTATTTTGTTGTTATATTTTTTCTGTCCCAAAAATTAGTGGTGGGGCGGCGCCCTAGCACCCTCCATGGAACAGCCGCCACTGATTTTCTCCAATCAAAAACCTGGCTAAGCTATTTTCCCCCATTCTTTGCTCACTTCCCTATTTCAGTGTCTTTGATGCCATCCTCACAATTTAAGCATCTAGAATATTATTACCCTCAGCCAATGGAGTGTGTTTAGGTCATTGGTGGGCTTTGACTTGTATTTAGCATTTAAATCAGGCCAGACTTGGTTGTGATCTCATTACCAGGACACCTGACTTTATTTGATGTAAAGCTGGGGCAATAATAAAGATCCCTCCTGGGTTAAAGTGGGGCTGAAGACAAGGTTTGTCCTGCAGCCCAGGTAATTTACTGCCAGGGAACAAGATAGAGAGATTGTGTTATTATAGACTTGATCGCTTGGCAGGCCAGCTTGTAATTGATCAGTGCTCTGCAGAATAGCTCAGGAGTGATGTGGGGGTTT